CAAGAAAATCAATTTAAGACTCAGAATATCTGTATTCCATACAGAATTTATATAAATAGCAAGAAAAACCCCTATGCCAGATCATAAAAAGATTGTGCATTGCAGGGTCAGACATACAGATCAGTACTCAAATGTCCAAATGTATAAAATTAAGATATATGGGTCCCTGTTAATTTGTTACTCCCGTGAAATTTATGTCGGAACCTTAGATATGTTGGATAGTCTCACGACGGGTCTAATTTAAAACTAATGGGGAAAGTTACCCGTTTCTTGTATCCAGGCATTTTATTTTTAATGATCTGCCAGTGTGAGTATAAACATTAGTGTCAGAATCTTTTATGATACTTATCATGTGAGGTTCATAATTTGTAATGGCTGTGCAGTTTTTACAGGTGTATTTAATGGCAAAATCTTATCTTGAACTGCATTTTAAAAGCTCGAGTGTAGTTTGATTTTCTAGGAACGGGAGGAGGGGAAGAATACCATTCTCTCCTTGGGGAGACAGCAGTTTTCTCGCGCAGCATTAACTTGAAAGAATATGAGAAGCGCGTGTGTTGCCAAAAGGAGTGTGGACGTATAGAGTTCTGAAAATAGTAAGTGTCAATAGGGAAGGGTTGCAGGTGCCAGAAGAAAAGTGTAAGCTCCCAAAGGCACTATCTCTTTTTTGCCTTGTCTAATGCCAAGCCATGTAGGTTGATGGTTAAAATTCAGTCCTTCCCTGAAAAGTGATTATATATTAAAAAAGGTCCCGTTTCAGAACAGATGTGTTTTCTGTGTGTACTGAAAATCACAGTTATTTGTTTCCATGACTTTTTAATATACTATTTACACCTGTTATACATGTGCAGCCGAAAGTGATGTGAGGGGAGAAAACACAAAATCCTCTTCTCGCTTGTTACGAGCTGTGGAGCTGCCGTGCTGGGGCAGCTCTGCCCAGGGCTCGCAGGCAGCGGGACCTCTGCCTCCACTCTCCTTGGGAACACAGCAGCCGCGCTCTGTGGCTCTCTCCTCTCTGCAAAACGGTAGCCTGGGAATCTGTAACAGGGGATTACACCACTTAACCAGCGACAGCAGCAAACTGAGCCAATTATTACTTCTATCCTTGTTAGTGACGGAGGACAAGTGATCACTCTGCTTTATAGCAATCTTTTCATATGGTTGAAGACTGTCATCACATTCCCTGTGAGCTTCTTCTATCTCGTACTAAACACGGCTAGGTCCTTCTGCCTTGCTTCCTATGAGTCTTTTGGGATTGGTTTGTTTGTTTGTGTCTTTAAACTCAATGATTCCTGTTGTTCTCAGGTGAATTCTTTAAGAGTGGGTGGCCCAGACCTGGCCACAGTACTTCAGAAGTGGACAGACTATTCCAGTTGAAGTCTTTCCAGAGATGTATTTCCTGGAGTGGAAGGGAATTATTTCTAAGATATTTCCCTTATTTGCAAGAGCAACACATTGCTGACATATTTGCTTTATAATCTGGACCATTTTCTACAGTACTGTTTAGCCAGTTAGTCCCAATTTTGTATTTGTGCTTTTGTCACTTCCCTTTATTGAATTTCATCTTCATTTCAGACCATTTCTGCAATCTATCAAAATCATTCTGAATTCCAATTCTGTCTTGCAAGGTATCTGCATGCTCTCTCGAGCGTGGTTTCATGTTCTGACTTTTTACATGAACTCCATTCCGCCTTCCAAGTCATTAAACAAAAATAAAGGAATTTGGAGAAAATGCCATAGGCTCAGTTGGCCTTATATTCCAGTTGCAAGATCTATTTTGGTTCAGCAATCACCATCACAGGCAAGTATCAAAGCCTCATTTGGCTTGCAGACTGTTAATCATGTAAGTGTGTAAGGTGTAAAGAAGAACCCAGCTTGACTCTCAGATCCCACAGTGAACATGTGGGACTATTAGATGGAGGGGGAAAAAGAACATCATTGTACTTAAAATCTGATTACATTTGCCAAAGAAATCAGAGTCAGGAAAAAATATTGAAACCTTAGGATTCCATTTACTTGGAGACCCTATTCAGAGTTGAGCCATGCTTCAAATTACAAATAATACCAGGGGTGGAGGGGATCAGAGAGAACAATGGCAGTTGTGGCAGAAGACATTTTGCTGCTTGGGTAGCTGGCTACAGCAGCATGGCATCTTCACTCCTGGCCCAGCTCACTGGCTGTCTCTGCCCTCTTCTGTCCTTTGACCCATTCCTTAAGTTTATTTTAACTCAAAATATTTTTAAAGTATTAATTTTTTTTTGTTATGTTTAGGCCATTATTTCAATGTTTGAGCGTGTGAGTGCACTACGTGAAAGGGAGGTTGCCATGGTAATTTCTCATTACTGTTGAATAGAAAAATAATTACTCTGGCAAAATCCCCCATAACCTGTCAGAGCATAAGTTAAAGATGCCTGGGGGCAGCCTTGCCTTCACCGTCCCCTATCTGCAAGAAAAAGGGGGTGATTTTATTACCCTTCTTTTTCTTTGTAATAACTGGATCCTTTTTCAGCTTGGCTAGGGGACCCTCATTGAGTTTTGTTCACAATTTGGCTGTGAGAGTCGTTGGGCCCACCTGTGACAAGGGTGGAGCAGAGAATTAATCAGCAGAGCATATCCAAGCTTCACAGAGGATTTATATATTCTATGAAGGTTTGGGAGTGTTTTTGTGGGTGGGGGTGGGGTGTTGCATTGTCTGTTTTTCCTTCTTCCTGACCTAAAATATGCAAAAGTGTAAGATAAAGACCTTGGACAGTATTCAAACTGTGACAGAGTCTGGATATTTCATCTATCCAGGGAGAGAATCCACAGTAACTGTGTCTCCGCATTTTCCTTACCTTCAGACTTCTTGGAAGCAAGAGTGAGTGCTAATATGCGTGATTTTGAGGGGAGGCCCTGCACTTTCCCGGCTCTTCTCTGTTCTTGCCATGTGCCTTTGCATCCCAACTATGGGTTGCTCCCCTTTCGCCTCCCGTGTTGTTGGATGTTGCATGAGTAACTCCAGTGATACTCAACTACTGGGTTAACAAGAGCTGCAAGTGTGGTGCTTTACATTGCCTCAATCCTTCCCTCCGCTCTTCCTTCCCCATGCAGAGTATGTCCGAAAGGTCCCAGTTCAGGGATACTGCAGCCTCTCTTTTGGCAAATGGCAGAGCGTGGTAGCTCATGGTTACCTGGTGGACAACACACTCTTGTATGGGCTTATAACGTCGCCCACCAAGCTGTCCCAAGTGAAGGGTGGGTGCACAGAGGTATTTTGCTAAAAGCTGGTTGCTGAGCGTCCACTGAACACCTATATATGTATTCTGTACTTAGCACCGTGGCTACTCGGCTAGTCAATGTGGCGATGTTTGCACCTGGAAACACTCATCAGGTTTACACCAGCAAAGAGGAAAGAGCAGCAGCTCTCTGTGACAATGGATTTCTAAGACGTGGGGATGGTTTTGATGCCTCTTTGTGTGACTGAATTTTGAGCGAGTACCACAGGGCTGTGCTGCTTGTTGTGCTGCCGCTGCCGGGCAGGATGAACCTTGGCAAGGAAGGTGAATTTTAGGCTCTGACCCAGCCAAGAAGTCTCTTGGACGTCTCTTGTAGGACCTGGAATGCCTGTCCTTAACATTTCTTCATTGGGTGCTTGGCAAAAAACAAAGTAAAGTTGTGAGGCAGGAGAGATACCCTGCTCAGCAGTTTGGAGTGAAATCCCATAGTAATGTCTTCAGGAAAAACAGGATCAGAACTAAAAAACCCAGATAGTTATTTCTCTGCACCTGTACATACAATGAATGTGACAGAGGCATGTTTTGGCTTAAATCGGCGTTTTATCTCAGGGTTTTTTTTTCTGTGAGGGTAACAAATGTTTTCTGGCTTAGTTATGTGTTGCTCAGACATTAAGAGGTACTCAGTGCTCGCTAGGCTGAATGAACCTGGCCTTGCACACTGGGAAGGCAGCTGCCGTGAGTGGGTTAGAGTGGCTCTGAGGAGTGCGACTGGGGCATCTTCAGAAGTGTATTTCCAGCTTTGTTGCTGATCCTGTGTGCTCTAAGTGGTTTAAATCTCAGGGCCTCAAAGGAGCAGAAGAGACTGCACCGAACATTTCAAATCCAGCTGTTAAATGTATCCATAGCTTTTGAATGAAACAATTCATGGATTCTCTGTTACCTGACTTCTGTGCAAACCCTTGGAGGCTGGACCACTTGCACAGGTGCTAGACATTGAGGTTTGGGTGCCTGTTGTTCATCACCCAGGTCTGATAATGCCTGGTTCAATTGTCAAAACCAACAGACCCCCTGCAGGGGTGTACTGGTATATACTTTACATTGTACACTGTATTAATAATTGCTATGTTCCAACTATGTGTATTACTGTAAGTCTAAGTATACACAGGTCATCTCAAAATATTGTTTTCACTTCATATATTACACTGAAAAGTAGAGATTTCTCTCAACAATTATATTTAAGTAACTAGTTGGTATTTAATTAACCTGCAGTAGCATTGTATTTATATTAAATGTATTGGAGTGGAATGGGTATTATATGTAGTTTCTAAATAACTTTCTTGTCAAGTCATGCTGATAATTGGGTTATGTAACATTACGGAATGAAGTACTGAGGTTTTTCCATTATTAGGACCAAGCATTTGAGATACACAGCCCAGAAAACGAGGGGAAAAGTCGTAATTGCTTCATTTGCAACTGATTTATAAAGACATTTTTAACATTTGAAGAAACATGTGTATTTATGAGAATGAAAGTTTTTACATATTTATTGTGCTTGATAAAATGAAAAACAGTTTATTATATAATAAACTAAATATTTTAGCTTTTTTCGTAAGTTAGAAGTAGAACCTTACGTAAGAAAAGTAGTTTGAAATATCTTATAGACATGTACACTCCAAAATCATAGATGAAGAAGTGCAAAGTATGTGTGAACCTGTTGAATTTCTTTTACAAAAGATGAACATATTTTCATTTTGCCTCCTCTTAAGTGAATGATCTCTTGCTTCCTAGGATAGTGACAACCTCTGGTGGGATGCCTTTGCAACTGAATTTTTTGAAGATGATGCAACCTTAACCCTTTCATTTTGTTTGGAAGACGGACCAAAGCGATACAGTAAGAGATATATTTTTTGTTTTAATCGTAAGTCTGAGTTTTTAAGCACAGTTTATCTGTACGAGACAGATGCAACCCTGTCACTTGTGTGTATTCAGTGACCATCAAGTTCAAGAATTGCATGGGTTGGGAATCCATTTTTTTGTGGAATTCCTCTGAATTTTATCACATGAAAATAAATTATTTCGTAGTGGAGTAGGGCAAATAATCCGCAGTCACTGAAATGTTGAGTCTTGTGGGCAAAATTGTTCTCAGAAAGGGAACTTTGTAGCAAATTTCAGTATTGTTGCTGGATGGGCTTCCAGATTTAAACAGGAATCAGAAAAGAAAACCAAACCCAAGAGATATATCCTTGCTGGTGTAGATAATCATTATTCCATCAGCTGCATGGATCTATGCTGTTTGCACACATTAAGGACCTGCCCTGGATATTGTCTGAACGGCAATGGAAGCTTAGAATACTCTCAATCAAGCACTAAAGGCAAGCACTAAATGCAAGGTTGAATAACAGTGAAGCAGTGAATAAATCTGATGGCATTGGTGTCCATTGCCTGCATATGCTGAGCAGGAAAAAGGGGTAAAATTCATTGAACAAATTGTTCGAAGTGAATAATTCACTCAGCTTTAGCACTAAGCAACAGAGAGATAAGTAAACACTGAAAAACTGCATTACCAATTGTTTCACTCCATTCAGAGTGACCCCTGCTTCACAGTGACAGCGTGTGCTCCCTGCTTAATGTTCTGAATCTTGTGAGGTTCTTCTTTTCTGTGAGAGTGACTGATTGTCAGCATATCACTCACATACTTCTAATTCCTTTTATCAATTATCTCAGGTATTTATTTGACAAGTGTTGCCTTCTCATGGAGAAAAAATAACAGCCACTTTGAATGCACGTTCTGGGATTAGTGTTGACAGAATTGCAGTTTCTTGCCTTTCAAAGCAAGTGATAACTCTGTAAAGGTCCTCAAATTACAGCCTATAGCAACGTTGGTAACAGCTGATCTGTCCTGATTAGGTTGAGTCAACTTGTCAGATATCAGATTTGCTAGTTGTGTTATCAGTCCAGAAGGCACAGATACATCAGCAAAAAAGCAATTAATGTCCAGTTAGATCAGAGGGAGTTGTGTTTCTGGAAAACAGTGCTGCATATGAAAGAATTTGTCAAAGAGTAAAATATTCCTGTTGTCACAAATGCTTGATAATGGTTACGCTATCTGTAACTGGGACGGTTTGGTATGGGGCAATGCTGTGATTCTTAGCATTGTTGTTGATAAGAGTGATTGAAAGATCAAATTGCTGTAGGGATGTTTTTAAAAGCTGCTAGTACACAGGATTTTTCCTCTGGTTTTAATTTCTGACCTCTGACCTTTCTGTTATTCTCAGCATCTGGAACTAAAGCTCAGCATATAGCATCCTTTGTTAGTAAATATTTGTGTAATTCTGAACTAGAGTATTATCTATTCTTTCTGACACGAGCAGTATTCCTGTTTAGTGATACTTTAAAGTGCGTGCTTGAGCTGTTCCAGTGTGGGACTTGCATTGCCATCTGAGCAGGCTTTGAGAGCAGCCTTGAGGGTGCCAAGTTGTCCGGGTCCCCACTCGGGGACACCTCCAACATTGCTTGGGGAGGGCGCACAGTGGAGGTTGTGTGTTAAGAGCAACCCTCTCTTCCTGCCAGGAAAGTTTGCATCCAAAAGTGTGTCCAGGAGTTGAGAACAGAGCAGTCGGCTCCCCTTTGGGTGCAAACATTAGCAGAACATCACTTCTACCTGTAGCAGGTCCTTGCTGGGCACAGAGACCTGACTGAGGTCTCCGTTTTGCCTGCCCAAGCTGTGTGCGTGCTGTGTTACGACTGTGGAGGGTCTTGGCATCTCCCAAAGACCATGATGTCACCCGGTAGCTTTATTCCAAGTAACGGGTGAAATCCCTGGCCAGTGGGCTGGGGCTTCTGTTTGGTGCACCAGAGTATGCTGCGTGGTGGCAGCACTGAGTGCGGAGTTTGGGAAGAGATGAAACAGAAGTGCCTGGTCTCCATCCGCGCTGTCCCCAGCGAGACACCTGCCTCCCTGCCCAGCATGCACACTGGCTAGTATGTAGTGAGCAGTAAAAACAGTGGAGCTGGCTGAGAGTGAAGGGAAAAGACAAATTGTTTGTTCTTACTCTTGCAGGCACAAACAGTAATGGAGGGAACCAAGATTAGGCCCTGGAAAAGAGAAACAGGCATCCTTTGAGAAGTCCTTTGTAGAGTTGAAAGTGATGAAGGATGCCGACCTCTTGCCTTTGCTCCAGGATTCAGCTCGAAATTGCCTGCCTTTGTCTTGCTTCAGCCTGTGAGAGATTTGCTTACATCTCTGACATCGGTTGTGTCTGCCACTTCATTTTCTTTCCTTTGGGCAATGATTTCCCTCTTTTGGGAACTAAAATACTATCTTCTGGAGCAGATAAATTCCAGAAAAAAATCTTGTGGGGGTGTGTGTGGGGGAAGGATAAAGAGATTTTTGTTATCCATGGCCACAATTTTTCTCTGGATTATGGCAATTCCCAGTCCTTTTCCCTCCTTGTTCTCAGGAACTATCCGCATCTTGCCCTAAACTGCCAGAGAGGAGCAGGAGCATGGTGTTTTGCCCCAGGTTTTTTCTTCAAAGCCCCTGAGAGCATTGTGGGAGACTTGCATATTCTCTTCTGCTCTTCTCTAATTTTGACTGCCAGTTCCCAGACCCTTGTTGGGGCTTCTTTTCCATGCTTGCTTTTAACTTTTCCTTTCCATGGGTCTCCTGTCGCAGCCTTTTTCCCAGCTGACTCTCTCTGCCCTCTGCTCTTACCTGCACAGCCCAATCTCACAGCAAATGCAAATGTTCAAAGCACGTGAATCAGACCTCTAAATCATTGTTTGTGTAAGTGTTAAAAAAACATAAAATTAAAAATACTACTTTTACTTGCCTCCCATTTCTTTTAACTTTTAATAGACACTTCTGTCCAAGAAACTGTAAGGGCTGTAAACTCACTTTTTTTTTTTTTTCCTCAGAAAACTAAGCTGCTTTAATTTCAAGGCCCCAAACTGATGCTTTATGAAAAACACTGGATATTTTTAGGCCTGCCTTTCACATTACCATGTTTTACAGCATTCCTCTCCATACTGAGAAAAGTGTTTTTCTTCCCTTTGGTACTCTCACTGTTGCGTCTGCGACTCTCAGCCCTGAGATTCTTTAATTTGTAGGGACAACCAGATATGGGTCAAAGTGGGGATTTGAAGTCACTGGGTTATGTTTACTTGGCATGAGACAGCACTGTGTACTGATACTCGAGCTACCTTTAAATGTGCCTGTGTATCTGTATGGCACAGCATGTAAAGATACTTACTTATGCCCTGGGAAGAGTAGAGGTCTGTTAGTTCAGTGATCCACCAGTGCTAATTAATTTGATTGCCAGGTTTGTTAGACCTAGAGCAGTTATCTTTACAGAACATTATTCTGCCTCGGATAGATGTGCACTGGAAAGCCCAGCTCAACTTTTCACGCAGAGATTCTGTGTCAGACCTGAAGTCGCTGCTGTGCCCATCTTTGCAGCTCTTTTTGTCTTTCTTCAGTATTTTATTTCTGTAGATGCGAGAACTTTACCTTCTGCAATTCTTCCTCCTCGGTACAGCATTCCAGAAAGAAGATACTATCTTCTTTCAAACATCCAGTGAAAATGTATGGTTTTCTCCTGCTTGCTTATACTCCTCAGGTATTCTTTTGGTCTGTTATTATCTATGAACCCTACTCATGCTATTAAATTCTGTGTTGAAATTGAGTTTTAATGAGAAACGCTACAGAAATGAAGATATATTTTAATGTAACAAGGGTGTAAGTTGTGTGTTTTCTCTAGTCTGGCTTCTTGGCTCCGGTGAGATGGAGAGAAAGCTCACACATTCCAGCGCCTAAAGACAAGGCAGGATTCCCAACCAAAGAGATGCTACCTGTTTTAAACTGCATTGCATTATATTCAACAGAAACTAAGAAGTAAACCCATGAAATTCTTTTTACAGTGACAGCAAAGAGAAATTTGCTTTAATTTATTATACCCTGATTTATTGGGTCAAAACATAAATAGGATTTAAACAAAACCAAAAAAGAAAATATGCTTAATGAAGCAGATTTTATTTTTTTCCTTGTTGTGGATAAAACATATTTGTTTCCTGTTAGGAGTCTTCTATCCCTACAAAAGAGTAAATACTAGGCTCTGATCCATTGTTGCCCAGGTTCTTTGTTTCTTAGAGACAAAATATTTCCCGAACAGATAAGAGAAACAAGTTTGATTGACAGCTCTTAGCAGAGTCTCATCAGCTGCTGTGCTGACAGGCTGGTGATGCGCACTGTGCTGATGTGGTAGGGACTGACAGGTGATTGACAGCCCAAGACTGTGGAGACAGGAAAGATGAAGCATGCTCAGTAAGAATAATGTGCAGTGTTTATGCAGCACTGCAGAGAATAGGAGCTAGAAAGTTAACTCTTTCAGAGCAAAGTGACACTGTAATGCATAATGGATGCAGTTGCCACTGTACAGAAAATTGGAGCTTGTCTACATTTCTGTTCACTAAATGCTTTCTGTTCATGGAGGAGCTATGTACTGTGAGGAAGCAAAAGCATGAGCTATCACATTTGTAGCTGTAAAAAAATTTCATGTGTGGTAGGTCTGATGGGTCCTCAAAATGTATTTATTTAAGCCTATGGATGTAGAATGTATTGAGAATTTCAGGCACTTTTTACGAGCTTCCATCACCCAATTTTATATGGCATTGCGTAATGTTACACAGCGGAAATTTCAGAAGGAATCAGTTGAGCTCTTTTGCTCTGTGTATCCCTAGAAAAACATAGTGATTTCAGTTTTATTGTTGCTCTGAATCTGTAGCTGATAATTGAATATGTGTTTTGTGTTATAATTGCTACTGCAGTTTGTGTTCAGAATGTACAATAGAACTGTATCACGCTTTGCATTTAATGCACTTACTGTGCATTTT